AGGTTGGTTCCTTCTTCTGGGAACATTTTGGGAATGAGGTTGTTGGTAAGTGAGTTTTCTTGTGTATGAGGTATTACTTGTAGATGCACTGTTTTGAGTGAGTCTGGTGGGGGATGAGTAACCAAGACCTCTTTTCTTCTTATTTGGAGTAACTCCAGCAGTAGGGTGAAGGTTTTTACTATTTGTGCTGGAGTTTCTCAGCTCTTTGTTCTCCTTTTCTAAGACATCATTTTTCCTTAAGGCATCTAGTAATTTAGAGTGAGTTGCCTTAATGTCTTGTTTCAGTCTATCATTTTCAGCATTTAAGAGAACATGGTGATTCTGGACTTTCTGGAAATCTTTTAATAAAGATTCCAGTGTTATGTTGTTTGGTCCAGAATCATTAGAGCTATAGGAGGAGCAGGATGTTACCTCGACATCGTTGTAGTCGTCTTTGGCCATTAAGCATTTATGGGAGCTGCTTGCATTACTTAAACTGGCGGAATATTCACTGAGCCACCTGCTGCTCTTTGTGGTGAGACAACTGCTATCGTTTTCACCCACCTGCCAGGATCCCAGGCATAGAAGTGCTTCTTCTGAGCTCTCAGATGAAGAGCTTTCATCACTTGAGCTGCTTTCATCTTCAGATTGGGTTTCCTCCTTTTTCTTTTCGCTAACAAAGGCTCGTCGTTTGCCTTGAAGTCCTTCTTGTATCCAGCTTTGTAACTAGTCCCCTGCTGCCCTTGAAATTTCTGGGCTAAGGGCAGAGGACACTCATTCTTGTAATGTCCTGGTTGTCTACAGTTGTAGCACATAACAGTTTCCTCGCTGGTTTGAGGTCTCCCTTGTTTCCTGGGTGGCAGATTGTATGATCTTTTTGGAGCAGTTCCCTCCCTTTTCATGAACCTTTTAAACTTCCTTACAAACATGGCAAACTGATCGTCGGTAAGGAGGTTGTTGAGGGATTTCTCACTGGATCTTGAAGGGCCAGGCTCAGACACTAGAGCTAGTGTTTTGGATTCATCTTCCTTTTCTTCTTTAATTTCCTTCATCTCAAATTCATAGGCTTTGAGATCACTGAAGAGCTTATCAGTTGATAGGATTCTTAGATCTCTGCTATCTCTCATAGCAGTCACCTTCATGTCCCATTTAGAGGGCAGGCCTCTCAAGACTTTAAGGGAAATCTCCTTTTGAGGTAGATCTTTCCCTAGGTCTGAGACCTCTGCTGTGATCTTTAGGAACCTAGTTTCCATCTCTTGGATGGACTCATTTTGCAGCATCTTGAAGTCCTCAAATTTCTTGAGGGCCATGGTAAGTTTGTTGTCCTTCTCCTGTTCATCACCAGCTCCAATTTTTGTGAGCTCATCCCAAACGTCCTTTGCTGTTTCACATTTCCTGATTCTGGGAAATATGGATTCATCAACCGATTTAAAAAGAATGTCCTTGGCAATGTTATCAAGGTTGTTTCTCTTCCTATCCTCGGTTGTCCATTCCAGTTTGGGCTTGAGAATGTACACATCCTCCTGGTCATCAGCTCTGGATGTGCTGACCTTCATTATCCTGATAGGTCCAGTAGTGATTACTTCCAGCATTTCATCATGTAAGGCACTGAGATGTGCCTTCATCCTGATTCTCCAATCATCAAACTTGTTTAGGTTGAATAGGAGGTTTTTGGCTAGTTGACTGTCCATTGTTTAGAAAGTGTTTGGGAGAGGGAAGTGACTTTGGGTCTTTTGTTCAAACTAGTCAGAAACTGACTCTAGGAACACCCGCTCTGATACCACTTGATGGTCCCGGATAGGGTAAAAGTTTAGAGGGGGGGTGAATAGACTTTTAAATCTTTTTGACCTTTACAAAAAGATTTCCCTCTAGAAGAGTTGATCTATAATCTTTTAAGAGATTAATAGATGCACAGCGGAAGTCTTTACCCTTTATATAATGAATGTTTTAATCACTTTCTGATCTGGAGAAGATTGGACTTAGATGACTAGCAGTTGGCTTGGCAGTTGGCTTGGCAGTTAGCTAGGAAGCAGGGAACTGCTGAGGCAACTGCTCAGATTTTGATCTGGCTTTCAGGAATTGAACGTACTTTTTGACAATGATATTTATGGCAGGCTGATGAAACTGAGATGGTCACAGGAAGTGACTTGTATGTGAGCAGAGGGCTCAGGAGTTGGGTGGTCTCAGGGAACTGCTGAGGCACCTGCTATACTTAGAAAGTGAATTGCTGGGAGATGATAGAGCAGACCTTTTAGAGATGGTGAGGTGCGTCTCGGGAGTGAAAATGTTCTCAAAGAAAGCAAGTGATTAAGCAGTAGGATAAGCAGTTGGGTCAGCTAAGACAACTGCTTAAGATTCTGCTGGCAAACTTCAATCTTTTTGTGAGAAGTGCTAAGTGTATGCTTTGTTTACTGAATGTAAATCAACACACAGTATATCCTGGTTCAGAGGTGGTGTAATCCTCCTACGTCCAGTCCCACCATTTTTCAGATGGATTTCACTAAAGTATTAAGCCCAATACACTTAGTGCCAATCTAGCCTTTACAACACTTAGGCCTAGATGGATTTCTCTAATGACCCAGTGGGGATCAAAAGGTACTCTATCTATCTACTTACACTGTAGGATCCGAACAACTGTTCTCCTAAGTGTTTACAACAATATGTGATTTATTTCAAGAAAGTTCTAACCTCCAACTAGGAACTAAACTTGTATAGTATGGCAATGAAGATTTGATAAACTGGAAGTTTAGTGAAGCATAAGTCCAAGCAGAGAGTAAAGTTTAGAATGACACTTTCTCTTTTGCTAGATCTTTCGTAACTGCTCTTGATAGAAATTCTCTCTTTGGATGCTTAAATGCTTGGTTAGAAACTTTCGTTTCTGCCTATATTTATAGGCTCTCCGGTCAATTGATCTTATCCGTTGGTTAGGATAGATCAATCTTGTGCGTTGAATTTTGTTCGCAGAAGATAAGCAACTTGTTGTTTATTTTCTTCTTCGGAGCGTATGGGTTCTGTTTGTTTTGCCCGCCTAGCCACTGTTGATGCCTTTTTAGACTTCAGACTTGTGCGCCCATGCTGTAGGTCCATGTACCTGTTGTAGCATTAACTTCCGTCTGTTTTTGTCTTCAATTGATTGCTGAAGTATTTCTTTTATTTGCGTCTTCAGTGTTCCAGGGCCTGTACGTATCTGGCATTAAATCTCGGTCAATCATCTATTTGATTTTTCGAGCTTCGTGACATACGAATAATTTTTGAGTCTTAATTAGCATTTGCCGGTAGGATTTTAGCATCCTATTAAGGCAAAGAAATTTTGCCTTATTCCATTTTTATTTTTCCGGTAATGTTTCATAGACCCAAAAATTGTACATTTGATTTGTCACGTTAATACTAGAATAAAATGAGACACAATGTACACGTGCTCAGTATAGTGGCATCATCAAAATCTTATCAGACTTGAGTACTAACAACTACCATCGAGTAAAATTGCTTTAGCAATTTTGCTTGATGACCCATTTGTTCTAGATTCACAAGTTGATAAGGTGTTTTATGCTAGAGATTCCAAGTCTAAAGATTGATTGATTGTGAGTAAGACATGTCAAAGTTAAGGATATGTTTAAAATGGAAAATAGTGTTGATCATATTACACAAACACCAAATGATGAAACATTTGATGTACCAAAATTGTATAGAGTTGGAGCTAATGGTGATAATGGAGTTGATGTCACTCCAATGATGGAACTGGATGCTACATGAGATGCAGATGATAAAGCTAGCAGAGTTGTTTCTTAAATAGTTATAGTTCTTATTAGTTAAATTTCTTATAGTATTTTTCTTGAGATCATGCAATATAGTAATGGATATATTTCATGTGCTTTAAAACTCATTCCTAGTGTTAATATGTTTCGTGGGAGATAGAACTTTGTTTAGTTGAAAACGTTTAGCGATGAAATATTTGGATATTTAATGTATTTGGGTAGCACTTTGTTTTTCATTTGTTTTTATTTATGTCTGTCCTCAATATACAACAACAGACTAAAAGATGGTGTAACGTAAGAGATTGAACATTGTCTCAACAAACAATCCCTGAAGTATACAACAATTCTATACAAATGAAGAGTTGCAGTTAGCTATGCACAAAGGAAAAGAGAAAATAGTTGGGAAGCAGTCAAATGCACAAAATGCTTCAAAGGGGTCTCAATCGGCTAACTCAAATAGCCTACAAAGTTCTGAATTGTCAACAAATGAAGCAGAATATCAACAAACATCTACTTCAATCAACAGAAACAAACCTCATGATTAAGGTTTTATTATTTCCATCATTATCATTCTTACCTTACTATTGACCTATAATTTAATGCTTATGTCCCATAATAAAGAATTTGCAAAAAAGTTCATGATCGACAAAAAAACTTGGCATTTGGGAGCTAATTAAAGAGTGACACAAAAATAGCGATTACCTTTAATGAAATGGTGCACCTAATTGGAGAAGGAAAAGAACTAACTCAATTTTTGGGTACCATGGTAAAAATGTCAAGTCATGTTGGGATAAGTTTTGATGACAGGAGAGATGTTGCTTTTACAACAAAGGAAACCTTATGGAACATTGTAAAGGTATTTGTGTAAGAGTTTTTTTTGCTTAATTTTACAGTAGAAATTCAAGTTTCTACTGGTGGAAATTGCAGAAGTGAAAAAATGGTTGATTGCAAATATGAGGTGGTAGAAAATGAGAAAGATTTGAGAGTTAACAAATCTCAATTTAAAGAACTTGTTAAGACTTGGATCAATCCAGAGTTTAAAGTAATTTTACATTTGCTTACATATATTTTTTATTAATAAATCACCAAATATTTTTTTACCGTGGGATGGAATAATAGCTTACTTAGAAATTAGTTTTATGTAGAATTTTGATGATTATTTTTATGTGCCTATTAAAATTATTAGGTAATGTCTGAAGTAAAGAAACAGAGTCGGTTAAAGAATCAAGAGCACACGTTACTGGTAAATAAGTATGAAAAGTGCCCCTATTTGGGAAAAAAACTCATTAATGCTATATGTATATATATGATCTTTCAACATGGAATAGTTGTGGAGGCAATGGGATAATGATATTGTTTTTGTAACGAATAGATCTTTTCACGCAAATCTTTCAAGTAAAACCGTTGAGTACATCACTGAGCCCTACTCACTAATAATGAACTATGGAAGGGCATCATCAAGAATGACTTCTTTTGTGGCTTTTTTGACAGCCTCTTTGAACGTCTCGAGGGACACTTCCAAGTCATCACATAGCTCGTATGGATCTGGAATCACTTCTGGATCAACTACCATTGATATCGTCATCTTGTTGCAGTAGCTTTGGAAGTGTATTGTCAATGACTACCAAATAAATAATTCGAAAAAAATTAAGAACTTAAATAGTTTTTTTATTTAGTCATTTGTTACTTTTCTAGTCAACAATAACAAAAACTTTGGTTAATCACTTGAGTAACTATTTTTTTTTTAAACTTACAAATTGTATAATATCATAATACTATTTTTAACAAATGGCATTTTCATATCATTTTCTTATTATAAATACTTTCATATGTAAATATACTATTGGTTAATGTGTAACATCTTTACTGGAAAAGTAAATGATGACTAAGTAAAAAGGGTCGGAAAGAGTATATCAAGAATGAAAAAGTGCATGAGTTTAAACCAAAATGTAGACAGAGTAATTTCAAACGACTAAAAGGTATCTAAAAGGCTGATAACATACTTGCTTCGTTCTAAAATAAATGTCATATTTGTGTTTGACACGCTTACCTAAAAACATTTGAAAAGTAAAAGATATGTCAATATTTTAAAACAAATGATGTGTGAAATATTGACTCACTCCTTATTTTCTAAAAGCAAAGTATGACATTTATTTTGAGCTGATCCAAAACGAAAATTAAAAAAAATGTTTCGAGGTAGAGGAAATAATAAATAAAATTATACGGAGTATGAAAGAAATGAGTCAAATTAAAATTTTGTATAGAATTTATCCAACTATATACGAAGCATAAACATACATACATGTGCCACCCCGTAAACGGCAGGAGCTGCGAAAACCATACTATGTCCAAAAAATGAAATCTCGTCTTCGGGTCCAACAACGTTGGATACCAGTACTGTTGTGTTACATATAACTCTGTTCGTCAAAGCAGCAGCTGCCTGCGCAAATGAACACATCAAATCAGGGGCGGAGCTAGAGCATTGAGTCAGACTGGACCGGTACAAAGAATATACTTGGAAAAAATTTTAAACAAAATTTTTTACACTAAAAATATTAACATTTTTTAAATTTAGGCTGGGCCAGGGCCGGAGCCAGGGTTGACGCTCAAGGGGCATAGCAATTCAATCTAAATTAGAAGAGAATAGTCTAGTCTAACGGTGTAATTAGTGAAGTGTTACTCGGGTTACTATGAATAAAACACGTACAAAGATATCCATTATTTGGTAGACATAAATATCTATCTAGCTTATTTATGTGCTATTTAAGTGTTTAAAATCTTCTAGTCGTATATTTGTAGCAACAATTTGTAAAAGGTTTTTTTAAAACTAAACTTTTTTTCTTGTTAAGCTACGCTGAATAGCTTCCGAGAGAGATTTTGTAACATTTAACATTAATTATTCACAACAAATTGTTATACTAAACAAAATTAAATCAAACAGTCATTTTTGTCAAACAACTACAATTTTTTCTTTTCAAATTTTCAATCATTAAAAACTAATAATTACTAAAATGATAACAAAGATATATTTTGAGTTAATTGTGTCAAACATATCCCATATTAGTGCAGTCTAGAAATCAAAATGAAAACCCGCACGAGTAGCTCAGTTGGTCGAGTGGTGGGAGATTTGGATCAATAGACCAAGGTTCGAATCCCCCCAGCGACCAGGTGGAAGTCACAGAACCTGAAATAAGGTTAGGCCTCTGGTGCGCACGGGTGTATGGGTCTACTATCATTCTGCTGACTGAGTCGTGACTAACCTCCCCACCATCCTCTCGGGTTGGAGTGAGGGGTTCTTGGGGTGGGAGATTCCACCTTTTTTGGTTCAATAGAAATCAAAATGAAAGAAACCAAAGTCAATGATGAAGAGTGAAAATACTTTAGGTTAAAGTACCAAAGGCAGGATGGCATTCAATCAACTTTCCTCATAAGTTGACATGTGTTGGGCATTTATAATCGCAGATGCTATATCGTACTGCACTACTACTAACAATCTCCATAACTGATGGAGTTGTTTGCATCAAATTAAATAGTTTCTATTTTTGGAAATAATACAATAAATATGGAACTTGAAATTTGGTTAGTAGCTAGCGGTACACATTTAAGATCACACAATGCATTAGTGACCACATTTTTTTTGTTTTAGTGACAGATTTTACGATTTATGTCTATACTGCTATACATATTAACATATGTACTTTTTGCAAACATCAAATCAATGAATACAAATATAATCACGTCTCCAATAATTAGACCTCTATGCATGATTAATCACATCTATGATTATATTTGTATTCATAGATGTTTGTACACACTCTTATACACACTTTTGTATACACTTATATCTGTGAAAGCTTTTTTTGTCCGTGAACATCAATTCACAAATACTTCGTCCAACCTTTTCGGGATCTAATTAGACATATTCAAAGTGACAAGACATCCCGCCATGATGTCATTTAATTAAAGACATGATTTTAGTACGTGCTGTCTGACCTCAGCATGTGGCCTATAATAGTATGCCGAGTGGCATATGCTAATTAAGCTGATCATGAAATGTTTCCTAACCTAATTAATTATGCTGAATGGAATGGCTTAGATGGTGTGGTGGTGCTTTTGTTGGCTTGAGGGACAAGTTTTTTACTTCATTCCTTCCGCAATTAAGTTACCACTTTCCTTTTTGGGCAGTTCCTAAATTAAGTTCACACTTCCTTATTTTCTTTATTTGACAAACTATCTACATCAAAACAGTGTCAAACAGTGCAAAATAGTGCACTCTACAGTAAAGTCAAATTTATTTTCTTAATATATGTGAAGTCAAATCGGGAACTTAATTGGAGGATGGAGGGAGTATATTTTTTTCAAATCTTGGGTGATATTGTCCCCCTAATATTGAAATGAAAGATGTAACGTGGTTTTTAAGAAAAGTGAAATTATGTAGTTAATAATGAGTTAATAAAGTGAGAATAAAGTAAGAATCAATTTGAGCCACACAAATATTACTAAATATGATACGGAGTATGAGACAATTTTAGTGGGAAGAACAAAAAAAGGAAAAATGAGATAATTATAGTTGAACGGAGTGAGTATTATTTAGAGAATTCTTCGAAAGAGAAGTGAATAAGTTTTGGAATTATAAAATAGAGCTGCTAATAAGTTTATCTTCACGAAATTAGAGTAACATGACGATATTTACAGTTATCTTGTAATCATTATTGTCAAATAGTTGTAATACTAGACATTAAATATGACATTATTTATTATCATTAACGATAGTTTGTTTCAAACACACTATTTTTCAACCATGACAATAATGACTCTTACTTGTAAAGAACATAACAGTTCTACTTTGAAATTTCAAAATATATTTACTCCTATTTGAAGCAATTTTCCTATTATTTATTACTTGTATGTTTGTGTTATTTCTGAAAGTTAATTAGGTTATATTATTATTTTATTGGGATTTGGATAATAGTTTGGCCGTCTCTTGTGGAAGTAAATTCTAATTTAACGAGTAGCTTTACCAGATATATTATTAATAATTAAATGAGTTAAATTAACCCTAGTCTCTATAATTTTAGACAAATACGAGTATAATATACATTACTAAAACTTGGTAATTGCATCTTCAGCCACGTTAGCATTGTCTAGTCCACATAACAATAACTCATTCAACATGACAAGTTAGAGCATCCCATGTCTATTTTCTTACACACTCTTAGACATGAATTCCATTTTTTTTCTCACAAATTTTATGTATAGGACCTACATATTTTCATATTTATTTTGATTTTCATTTTTTTATATCACTTGTAACCCACTTTCATCCACTTTTGTTCCTCGATTCCTGTGTAAAATCTATTTGTGGACATTGTCATAGACACTGTCTACAATTTACATCTATCTCTCTTCCATTTCATTTTTCATACACACCACTTTCTCTATATTAAATTAAAATAATCATCTTATCTATATCTATCTCCTATGCCATGTAGGATAAACTTTACTCCAATCCATTACCTCATTCGAGATCTCTTAGATGTAGCATGTGTGATGCCGTGGGAACTATTAAAGGGAATGGTACATATGACGTGACAAACTTGCTTTTCTTGAAATCATAAAATTCGGAAGTTGGGGGACATAAATATTCAAAAAGTGCGTATGTAATGTGTCAAATTATCACCTGAAAATTGGTGAAATTTATACAATTTCAAATTTTTGAAATGTTTAAGTCATTTTTTGGTCTTATCTGATCTCATAAATGTATGATATATGCATTTTACTTCGTCCGTGTTATTAGATTTTGTCAATTACTTTACTTTTCTATTTGCCACAAAATTTTGTTATTTTATTTGGAAGTAGCAAGTTTCTTGTTGAATTGATTTTTACCTCCTTTTCACTAGTCTCAATTATATATACAATTTTTAGTTTATTATTTCATATATACAATATAAAGTTGACAAGCCTAATGAGACAGGGGGAATATTATTATCTAAGTTTGGTGTAACCTAATATCATTAGCATCTAGTTTGGAACGGAGGATAGTATGTTTTAAGTCTGATTCATATATATATATATATATATATATATATATATATCTATATATATATATATATATATATATATATATATATATATATACATACATATATATATATATACATACATATATATATATATATACATACATATATATATATATATATACATATATATATATATACATATATATATATACATATATATATATACATATATATATATATACATATATATATATATACATATATATATATATATGTGTGTGTGTGTGTGTGTGTGTGTGTGTGTGTGTATAGACCCATTATTTAACTTGTCTATGTAACCATACAGTCTATACAGTCTATCCGTGACAAAATCCGTGACAGGGTTGTTTGTCACATATTTTTTTAACTATGCTCCGTGAAAAATTCCGTGACAATCTCACTGTTTTTTTTGCAATGGCTACGTATAGTAAGGATATTTCCAAAATGTTATATCTACATAGGAATTATATATTGTGGAAAAGCTCAACGGAAAGGCCGGTGTAGATAAAATACCTTTTTATGGGAAATACTACTTTCATTCTCTTGTAATTGCAACATTGGACTTTTTACACTATTCACATGTTCTACTTTGATTATATTTTATTTATTAATGTATTATAAATTAAAATTTTAATAAACATTTTTAAATTTTTCTCATTTTAAAATTTCAAAATGTGAATTTTTTAATTTTTTTACTAATAAGGAATGAAAGATGATAATAGTCAAGCGTGAAAAGTTGACCGTTTCAATTAAAAAGGAACGGAGGAAGTATTACATTTGATGGTAGAATTGTGGCCAAACATATTAGTTACAGTACTAAATCAGTACTTTCATTCGATCAGTTTAAAATATAATCGTATTTATACATGCTTACACACGTACGTACCTTGATTCCAAAGAGCTTGAGAATGAGAAGAGCAGCAGAGAATGAGAATCTAGATTCCATGGACAGCTTCTTTCGGTCAATTAGGGCTTTTGCTTTGCGGACATATCCCAACGGGTTTTCTTGAAGACCGATGAATAATGGGGTTAGGGCATATCCTATTTTATTTCCCCATTTTGCCCTTGACTTCTTATCCATCATCTCAGCTAGTGCCTGTTGTTCATCGGGTTTTTATCGGGGTTTCACTTAATATATGTATTCAATGCATTATATTTTTTGATCGTAAAAATTAGAACCCCATAAATATAAAGGTTGGTAATGGTGCTAGCTTCAGTTCAAGTGATGGCAGATACATCCCAGAAAAGTTGGTAATGGTGTTTGAAATATAAAATGGATAAACAATATTCCCTCCGTCTCATTTTGTGTTGCAAAATTGATTTTTTTAATCAAATAGACTCATTTTATACACTTAATTAGGATATCAATTGTTAATTAAATTTTAAATTGGATTTTATAATTTTATAAAGATTTTAAAATTGAAATAATGATTGATTCAAAAAAATTGAATTAATGATTAATTGGGGGTATTTAATTTTACTATTGGTAGACCAAAAAATGTTAATTTTTCAAAACAATTTGGGACGGAGGTAGTACTCAGTACTCCATTTTTTAATTGTTGATAGTGACCAATTTCTCTACTCTAGTTATCCATTTAGATCACATTAGTAATTAAAAAATATCATTTCAGTGAATATATGTAATTCTCCGTTCTCTTTTAAATGTAATATTGGACATTTTGCACTATTCACATATTTTACTTTGACTATATAGATCATACTATCTCCGTTCTCTTTTAAATGTAATATTGGACATTTTGCACTATTCACATATTTTACTTTGACTATATTTTTTTAATTAATGTATTATAAATTAAATTTTTAAAAAATATTGTTAAATTCTTCTAATTCTAAATTTTCAAAATATGAATTTTTTAAATTTTTTACTGACAGGGAATGAAAGATATTAACGGTCAAACATGTGTGTTTGCAAACGTGAAATGTTGACTGTTGCAGTTAAAAAGGAACAAAGAAAGTATATATTTATTTCAAGATCAATGTAATTAGAAATATTTAACTCGATCATTCATTAAGGATGCTCTTAATGAGATTGAAATCTTCTACCCTGGCCTGAATCGATCTGATATAGTAGATGATTATTATTTTATGTGCATTCACTATTATTGAAATCTGGTGTGTTCTTATCGATATAAATATGATCTGATCTATTAACTGCGACAAATAAATTCAATGAGTAGACCTTTATTCCTGCTGATGGTCTGATGTTGAAAATGATTGCCCCTCTAAGCCGAACTTTCTTGGGTAGATTGTTTTTGTCATTGCTTTGATTCCCCTTTTTGTTGCCTAATAAGATCAGAGGAAATTCAATTATAAATAGTAATGAGTAATTTTTAATGAATTAGATGAATTAGTATAGAGTTAATTAATGAAGATTTCTCTATTTCAGACTTTTTTTTTTGCTATTTAATTTCGAGACTATGTAACGAGGTAAAAGGTACGTAGTAGGCTTACCATATTTTCTGTTGAGATAACGTGACATTCCTGCTTGTAATAACCCCATGATTACATCATTCACGGTCTAAGGATTGCAAATTATAAACCACAATACCACATAATAATTAATTAATAATTTTGAATTAGAAAGGTTAAGAATGCACTACTAATTTAACTACATACTAATTAAGTACTACCAATATGTAGTAAATAGAAAATCGACACTTCTACCACATATAGAGAGTATCATCAATGATATGTCATATGTATTGCGACCTTTTATATTTCATATTTATTGCTTGCATAATCTATTTATACAATTTTCATCCCTTATTATTAAGACTTGGGGTTCCATCCTAAAAGATCAACCTGATAGGAGGAGTAGGCCAAAGCCTTATATAGCGATTTATCGTTTTATAGCTTTATGCTGTGGGACAAATACTCTAACACCCCCCCTCAGCCCGAACCGGGCTGCATAATATCGGGGTGTATAAATGGGTCAAACAGACCCTTAACAAGCTACCCGTAATCATGGATGCTAAACAAGTTGTCAAACCACAACCGGAAATGGCTCTGATACCATATTAAGACTTGGGGTTCCATCCTAAAAGGTCAACCTGATAGGAGGAGTAGATCAAAGCCTTATATAATGATTTATTCTTTTATAGTTTTCCGGTGTGGAACAAATACTCTAACACTCATCACAAAAATAAAATAAACTAAGACAAAACATTTAATATATAGTAGTAAGTAGCAATAAGTAATAATGAAATGCTATTTTTTCTTTACTATATATATGTAACAAAACGTACCACGTTCATTGCATTTTTAATGAGCTTGATGTCATCAAGACTTACGGTCCTATGCACAACTCTTCTCGGGTTGATCAACAATTCATCATCTTTCTTTTTCCCTTTCAATGGAGTGTCTGTATCCTTGAGAAAAATGAGTGTAGCCAAGAAAAACATTATATCCACTATAGTGTTTATGATCACCATCATAATCCTCCACATCGACAAAAATGATTGCCTAAAGAACCCTAATTTGGGTCGGGTTCTCTTGGCGGATGGGATGGTGGGCAGCGAATTCGGGTCGGACGCCTTTCGGGTGCAAGCCAGGAACAAAGAGATGAGTGAAATGCCATCCCCTAGTGAATGGTGCATCCTCAGGATTCCTATGGAGTTTGCCTCTGAGGTTTTCACGTTTAGAATGTGGATGTCCCACAGTGGCTTTGACATGTCCATTGACTTTGTGGTCAAACTTGATGTGTAGTTCTCAACAAACTCATCCGGGCATTGCATCTCCGGGTCCAAATCCGGGCATATAATGTGGTTATCCACATTCACCTTCCTTGGGACCCACCTCTTCTTTCCTCTCTTATCATCCAACTTCTTTAAAAAAATCCAAATCAAAACCAAACTATTCAAATAGAAAGATGAAAAGGTTGATTATAATAAGTGTGTTTGTTGTCCAGCTAGACGAGCCTGTTACACACGTTCATCAATTCAAGTTGCCATCCACGTGGCATTTATATATGGAAGGGTATTAGAGTAGGAAAATTCAATTGATGATTTGACACTTAATGTTAAGAATATGTGTTGCTAAAGGTATGCAGATTGTAACACTTCTTAGTTATGTCTCATTCATTAGTATTTAGTATTCAATTGATGTGTAATAAGTCCAACAACCTCTTCATGGTACTCTACTAGGTCGTGTTTTTCATACTAAGTACTCCTTCCGTCTCTTAAAATTTTGTCAAGTTTGACCGACACAGAGATTAATAAAGTAAAAACTTGTGATAGAAGTTTGTGCAGAAGAGAGAGAATTAACTGGAACCACAAATTTTTTACTCAAAAGGGCAAGTGGCAAAGTTAGTGGGACATCCAAAAAAGGAAAGTTGGCAAACTTTTAAGGGACGGAGGGAGTACGTTTTTTAGAATCATGTGCTATCATGGCTATGGCTCCGATGTTCTTACCCTAATCCTTAATGAGGATACACGTCATAGACTTGTCACCGGTGGCGAAAGTAGAGCGGTATATTGGAGCGAATCAGTACAAATAATATTTTTCGAAATTTTTTGCACTAATTTTTTTTTACCTTATACGAAGTAGTTTAAACAAAATAATTTAAAATTGGAGTAGGTCGGGTCCTAGATTGTCCCCTCATTAGCTACGTCCCTACATGTCACTATAGAGTGGGAGTAATATAGCTCCAATAATCTCACTTTTAAGTGAGATAATCAATGTTTTGAAACTCATGTTGCATATTAAAAGGTTCAGGTCGAACTCATGTGAGGAGTAACTCATAATCTTATACCCTACTAGATAGTATATTATTGAACAAATACTTTGACACAATAAAACAAGAAACCATTTTATGATGACAACAGAGGAAGAAATGGTGATAAGATATCAAAATCCTTGCATATAAAGTCAGGGATATAATATCATAGAAGTGATAGAACCCTAATTAGTTATTATTGCATCTTAGTGTTAATAATTAAAATTGCTAGTTTAACTTGTCTCATCTAGCCAGTGTGTTTTACTATATATTGATAAAAAAAGAAATTACCACTTGTTAATTAATAACAAAGCTGCGCTGAGTAAAAGAAAAGTAAAAAATGATTTTGCTTACTATAATGCTGGAGAAACGGGGGTGATTAATCAAGGTGCACTCGAGACCCTTCTTGATGACATCTACGTTGATTTTTGTGGTGCACCCCAAGACGGCGATGATAAAGCAGTTGAGGTTTCTTGTGTGGAACAAGCGTGTGGCGGGGCTGGCCGGCTCCTCCGCCGCCTCCCCTTGGCCGAACACCACCACACCCTGGTGGTCGCCATCGGTGATAGGAGTGGTTTGTGGGGCTGTTTTTGGTTTTGTGTCAATGGGTCTGAGAACTACCTTGGAAGCCATTGGACGGATGATCAAATTAGCTGGCCGGCCGGCCGGGAGCTAGAGACCTTAATTAGCTTAGCTAGCTACTTGTATTGTATATCTGTCGGAGTGGTATTGCTTCTCAGCACGAGCTCATCTTCCATCCCCTTTAATACTTCCTTTCTCCCTTTTACTGTTTTGATGATGACTTTTGATGGGTTAACGTGGGGTTTGGATGGGTTTTATTTCTGTTAGCGATAGTATGGGTAGGAAGGTTTTTGTAACGCTCAAAACAAGTGAATCTATTGAATAGACTAGATTCTCACCCGCGCGATGCGCTGATGAAATTTTACTACTCTGTGTTTAAGAATTTTATTATAAAGGTGTTTAAATAAATGAACTCATAATAAAGAGAAGTAATATAATAAGTGTTCGTTGTTAAGAGAGATATAACATTTCAAAGTATAAAGTGGTGATGAAACTAATAAGTGTTCATTGTGAAACTATAAATTATGAAAGACTTCTTTGTAAACAACATTAGTAGTATGATCGATTTGTTTGTCATCTTCATCACAAATCAAAATTTTCAAGCCTTTGCGATTGGTAAAGTTGACCATGAGTGAAGCACGGCTTTTTTAGTAAAAGTCCAACATGCGTTAGAGATTGTCCCTGACTCTTGTTTATAGTAATCGCATAAGAGACCATGATTGGAAATTGCCTTCTTTGGAACTTGAATGGTATTCTTGCATCTCAAGGTGTTAATGTCAATCTCGGTATGACTACTTCTTGACCATCAAATTTTTCTCCTAAAATTGTAGCTCCAAGAACATGATTTCCAAGCCATGTAATTATTAACCTCGTTCCATTGCATAAGCCCATGGAATGATCAATGTTCCTCAGAAGCATAACCGGAGTACCTACCTTTAGAGTCAACTCATGATTTGGAACACCGGAAGCACAGATCTTATTCAAGAACTCGGGTGTATGCAAATCAGCCAAAATATCACAATTAGAGTCAGATTTGCAAATGCTATCAGAACTCAAATATGTCCTACATTCCTCTGTAACATTCAATGCAGTCATGTACTCATTAATTGAGTCAACAACATCAAGCGTCGGCGCCAAAATAGCACGTTCTTTTAGGAACGACGGGTCAGTAGGCATAGCTTCAAAATGAGGATACGTACTACGTACAATTGTTGCAATAAAGTATTCATCACTTTGAAGCAAAATGTCACTTGGTATTTGTATATCAGCACATCCATCATTTTCACCACCTGCTGTTCCATCTCCCAAACTTGCTATCCACTCCGCAAACTCAACCAAGTCGGCATAATCATGATCGTCACTTAACGATTGTAGTCTCATGTTCTTTGTTAAGCGTAAAACAATGCAATCTTTCCATATGTATGAAGAATTAATTGTGGCATTAACTATGTCTTGTCTTGTACCTTTGGCAATCACCGGTAAGATTTGTCTAAAGTCTCCTCCAAAGACAATAGTTTTTCCTCCAAACGGCTTATCATTATTTCGAGGATCAACAACCCTGAGAATGTCACGCATACTTCTGTCCAAAGCTTCAAAACAAAATTTATGCATCATCGGTGCCTCATCCCAAATAATAAGTTTAGACCTAATTATTAATTGGGCTAGTGGACTGTTTTGTTTGATGTTGCATGTTGAATGCTCGGTTGGGTTGATTGGTATTGCAAAACGTGAGTGAGCAGTTCTTCCACCAGGCAATAATAATGAAGCAATCCCACTTGAGGTCACATTTAAAACAATTTCACCGTTTGACCTCAAAGCTGCTGACAACGTTTTCCAAATAAACGTTTTTCCTGTACCCCCGCACCCATATACAAAGAACACTCCACCCTTGTTCTCTTCAATGGATTCCATAATAGTCTTGTACACTTCACTTTGCTGCTCATTCAAACTCTCCATGCATTTTTCATGTTGTTCGCGCATCTCGGCATGATCACATTGTAACTCATCAAAAATAAATCTGTTATGAAACATTGTTGCGTTACTGCACTTAGGGAATGGCATTGATGGGTAGTCCCTTAGGCTTCTTCCCCGAGTCCTCAACATTGTTTCAATTTCAAGCAATGCATAATTCTTGATTTCGTCTTCCGTCAACATTAATTCTACAATAACAAATAGTTTTCATTTAATTCCACAAAAGATTTATTTAACATTTTACAAACATAAATCGGATGAAAAAATAAATTATGTTTTAATAACCTGGATGTAGCAAAGCTCGTCGATGTCTCAGTAGAATGTCATCAGACATGAAATTCCAACATTTCTCCCAAACGTATTCAGGTCTACTCATTGTATCTGCTAATAACAATGTGACAAATAGAACTCTTAGTCCCCATGCTGAAGCCCAAAAACTACTCTCCGTAAAACCTTCGACGTACTCTCGATCATCGTCCAACAAACCCAATGCGTAACATGTGTCACGATATGAATCATAACAAACTTCGTCAACAGTCCGTAAATCAGCGAAACACATAGCACCACGCTTTAAATTGAGGATACATCGCATGTAATAAGATTCTCCTGATCCTGGTGGGACATATGCCACTCGACCCAAAGCAAAACCCCTTTTGCGAGGAACAAATTCCATTGTTTTAGGTTTCCAAATAAATTTCTGAGGGAATTCAGCATAAGTTAAATTTTTAGCCTCTTCATACTGATCATTGGCCTTCATCCATGTCAGAAACATGATTTGTTTAACAGATTCACGTTGTACAACATCTGTCATCGCATCCTCGTCTTCAAAATATACATACTGCTCATCAGGAAAGTGAAAGCTCAAACGCTCAATCGATGGATTCTTATATTGTATTTCAAACCCTAATATACGCCACATTGCCTCACATGGTGAAATGCATCGGCAATCATAGTACAATTTGATTTCATCCACGGGCTTTTCTGAATCATCCTTATTTGCGGCCTCATAAAATGCAGTTGTGACGCGATCATGGCCTTTATTCACATATTTGAAAAGATAATTGATAGACCTTGATTGGTTACACCACTCTACATTAAGATGAGCACCATACTTCATCAACAAATACCTGTTATGAGGAACAACATGTTGGTTGTCAAGTGGAACACGGTTCTTCACGATCGTTTTGCCATCATCCCGTCTCATGTACTTAGGATAACCATCATCGTCAATGTTAGTTTGTACATTGAACTTCTTTGGAAAGTGTTTAGAACATTTAGACTTAACCATGCACGAGGCGTTTTTTGCGTCACTCCCGCACGGTCCATGCATCATATGCATTCGCACAACATTAAAATAATCAGGATCACTTGACTCATCAGGAATTTCAGCCGATATAATTCGATCTATATCTGTAGCAATGGGAAATTTGTCTGCATTTCCCATGAACAACAATATATGGGCATGTGGGAGGCCACATTTTTGGAACTCAATAGTGTAAACAACTGCATTAAACAATAACAACCATTGTAATCATTTATTATATAAGATGAATAATTACTTTATTAACCATTTATAATAGATATATTTCAAACCTGCTCTAACATCACCAAAGATTTTATTTTGTCGTAGATATTTGATCAATCCATCTAACTTCATCTTGAATACTCGACAGATTATATCAGGCCGATCTTCAGGATTCAAATTCCTTTCTGAAAGGAACCTAACAATTTCAGGCCATTTAGGATTGCAAGTGAAGGTCAAGAAAAGATCTGGATATCCAGCCCATCGACATATAGCCATTGCATCTTGATAGTTTTGAACCATGTATCTGGCCCCTCCAACAAATTTGGTGGTAGAACTATTCTCTTTCCTTGGGTAGAAGCATCTCGTTCACCACTCAATAACGCCTCGAAAAGGCCTTTATACATTTCACATCTTAATTGCTTTTGATGCAATCTTATATAAGTGAGTCTGGATGATTCAACCATCGTGTAACCGTCTACCACAAATTGTTGAAACAATCTCCTAGCTTTGAGTATAAAGGAATTCTCAATACCACGATCATGTAATCGATATGCTAGGAATTCACGTATGCTAACACTTCGACGACCTTTAGTGCTGCTACTATTAGAATCTGAAAAACTTATATCCTCTCTATAACCATCTTCACCATAAGGAAACAGTAGTGGATACTGAAGCCCCAAATAAGCAAGATTCAACTCATTGATTCGTTTCAAAACACCCCCTTGAGTTTCCACCTTTATGTCTCTTTGCCCCAAAGATTCATCAAAGTCACCAACTATCAAAACCGCAACTTCAGACACCGTAGGCAAATTGTATGTTCTAGCATCTCTACCTCTCCGGCCAATTAACTTCAAGTTAACATTAGAATGTCCACATTCTGCAATCTTATCTCTAACCATCCTAAAAGACTTGACCAAAACGTTATGTTGATCCAACATTTGCCTTAGGGTAGAGACAATATCAGCATGCAATTTGTTCTTTCGTTCATTATCCCTAATGTTGGAGAAGGAAAGTACAACATTGTTTAGGATAATGACATAATGAAAATGAAAACAAAAATTGTCTTGCATTAGGTTATTACCCCACTGAGGTCAGGCGATTAGCATCTTCATGCTGCGTGTCATAGATATACAATTGCGCAAACTTGGGTACATTTCCTTCCTCGGGCAACAAACTCCCAATGAGATGATAGTTTTGACCGCCAAGTTTAAAAACTGGAGGTGACCCACCCTTATTGATTGTTTGATCAACCCTTCTGCCCATTGATGTGAAAGAAAACATACTATTGTATGATCGAATATTATCCTGAAAGTGTTTGGATTTTTTATCTGTGTCATTCATCAAATCACACAACTCTTTTGGAGGCTCTTTGTGTGGTGGTAATTGGATCTTCCCTTGACCGCAACATAGAGAATACTTAGGGCTTGTTTTAGTAGAACTTCGCACCAATCTTTCATCATACCAAAACAATGCCCCACAATGTTCACAATTGTAATTGAGATCACCAATGTCCCAATATTCAATGCTGATTATATCTACAAAACTAATAGAAGGTTAATGAAGATGTGTTTATCATGCGTGAGGAAATGCATTGAACTATTTTCTCACCTTCACCAACGTTCATTTCTGATGGAAGTGCATCCTCAATGTCAGATAATGGAACTTGTGGCACAATACTAGTAGGACGTTGTATTCCACAAATGCGGGAAATGTCATTCACATTTTGTGTGCTCACT